ACGACGTGTCGAAGCCCGTTCCCCGTGGGCATACTGCGCTCTTTTTGGCTATGCATACGGAGAAGGAGCTCCGCGATGAGTGAGCCACGTCTCGCAAAACATACTGAAACTGGTAACATTTCGCTGCTCTGTTTACGGAGTTTTACAGAATTCCGTCCCCCTCCTGAGTCCGATCTGCACCCACTCGTATTGGTCAGTTATTGAGAAGTAGAGGAATCCTCCCTTCAGCTCTCTTCCGAAAATACTTTATGTGATTTTCTGCTGCCTCCACATGATCTTTTTTGTTGCTATCTCACTAATACGCAGCCTTTTTTCTCTTTTCCATGATATTTTCGAGAGTGGTAGTTCATGAGTTTCAATGTTTTCCCTTAGTGGTATAGAATTGTTGAACTACTGAAACATTAAAGACAGCTTCCGCGCTGAAGTAATTCGTGGTCGTCATTCCTTGTGCAAGTAGTCCAGCCCCAAGCTAAGAGACTGTCCCACTCTCGCGACTCCACAGCGAGCGAGGAGCGAGCTACAGCCGCTGAAAGTTCTAGTTCTAACGCCCGCCCAGTTGGACCGCCCACTTGCTAGATGCCCTCTGACGGAGGGCCGCTCAGTTGTTCTTTGTTGGGGCGGCGGGCATTAATCGGAATTGCATGTCCTTTTTGCTGACCGCGCTCGTGCCCATAAATAATTCTGCTCTCCTTTATTACATTTTATTCATTAGGAGCACATACAGTCAACTGCAACCCATCTCGCAAGGTAAAAATCACGAGTGATGCAATTTTCTTGGTGCAAAAGCTCGACGCACTAGAAGATGCACGCTACCGTAACCCTGAATTCGTACGCCGAGTTTTTGAAAGTTTCTTTTTGTCACGAGTTTTCCGTCGGTGTTTTTGTTGTTTTTCGTATTCTTTTCTTTGCATTGGATGATATTACTACTGGGAGATGCGAAAAAGCGATTTGTGAGCCAGGGGTTGCACAGAGGGCGGTGTGACTGTCAGGGAGCGATTTTATGCTGTATTAGAAGATTATTCTTGCTTCTTTCTCCATTGGGGAATTACTTATTAACTACTATTTCATAATTCATATTAC